ATCTGAAGATGAAATGACAAAGAATGATGTGGACTACGAATAAAGAGACATCAAGACTAGCTCTCTCTTGACACTAGAACCCTCCATAACATAGGCAATGCCATGAACACCACCATTAACCACCAACTATGACCACCTACCATAACCACCAACCATAACCACCAACCGTCACTGAATATCTGTGGTCACTGCTCTGGCCAGTGTCATGTCAGAGACAGGAGGGAGAAGTCGCAAGTTACCAACAAAGTGACGTCCTAACTTCTTGTTATCAACGTCTTCCAACTCGACCAAATACTTCGTGATGACTTGACTGATCTTGAATGGGCCATTCATCTTCGGATCTAACTTACGCCTTTGGTGACATATCACCATGACGTCTTGTCCCACTTGCAAGAATGGAACTCGCCGACCCGGCATACGAGACAGGGTGGCCTCACTCCTGTTCCGCAGGACATAATTGTGTACAGTATAAGCGTCGAAAGCTGAGGTGTACACTCGCTCCATGTTCTTAACCATCTTGTCCACCAGATCTCGCTGTAGTGTGGCCGGAAATCCCTGATGAACTTCTGCCCACTGCTTCGCCTGTTCCGTGAGGGGGCATGTACGCCACTTGTAGACCCAAGTGGCGGAAGGAAGAAGTCTATACCAGTCACGCAGTTGAAGTCCAGAACTCTCGATGATAGCACGGATAACTCCATTCAGCGAACGATGAGGGATTTCTTGCCAGGAATTCAGTGGAGGCGCAGGACTGGGGAAAAACTTCCAATTCCATTGAAATACCTTCTGAGCGGCTAGCCCAATACGACTCAAAAATCCGACCATCCCTGTCACTGACAATCAGGGCTGGGAATCCGAACATGAAGAAGCAGTCTAGGATGGCCTCTAAAGTAGAATCACTATCACGAGAGACCATCGGTTTGGTGATGACGAACTTGGTTGCTGCATCAACAATGACTAGAGCATACTCGACCTTGGGAGCGGGATCGTCCGACTGTTTAGGGGAGGTAAAAGGACCCATCAAGTCGATACCTACCATTTCCATGGGAAGTGGACTCTTTGGGGGAACAGTTCCCAGTCCTCCCGCACGGAGGAGGCAGGAGCTCTTTAGCCTCGCACAGGTCGTACAATTCTTAGAGCATCGACGAGCGTCTCCCGAAAGACCTGGCCAATAAAATCTCTGGATAGTATGGCACGTAGCTTGCTTCAAGCAAGTTGT